CTCTTTACAGAGGTGTGGCAAGGTTGAGGAAGCAACCCAGCAAGTGGGAGGAAGGGCCTATCAGCAGTCAGCAAGAGCTTCAGCCAGAAGGGTGGCTGACCCACTGAAGAGGTGGTTGTGGAGAACACACTGCAGCACCTGCCAAAGGGAATCCAGTTTCTCTTACCTTGTGCTCAGATCTCCTGGCAGTGTGACAGTCCCCCATCAGAGTAAACCCAACCAAAAGCCAGGGGCAAGGCTACTGAGTGATGTCATCCACAGAGGTCAGCCTTCTGGAGGAGAGCAGGCCAAGGCAGGCCAGAGATTGGATCTGGAAAGGCCAGTGGAGGACAGCACAGACACACTGTGCGTGCATTGCTCCTCTCTGTTCCAGGGAGGGAGGGAGCAGTTCTACTCCATGGCAGAGTAATCATGTCTATTCCTTGATCTCATTTCTCACCCTCCCCACCCCCGTGTTTGCTTCTTAGTCTCTGTGTGCTGCATTACAGCAAGTTAAAGTCCAAAACTAAATCAAGTTATTCCTATCTGAGGAAAAACTGGGTTTTTAAATACATGGTATTGGGACAAATAGAAAGTCACCTGAAAAAGGATGAAGTGAATCTAAACCTCACACTAAAGTAAATCCTAAATGGACCAGAGATCCAAATGTACAACGTGCAACCAAGGAGGTTTGGCACAGGTGAATTGCTTTATAACCTGGGGGTGAGGAAAGCCTTTCAACATTCAGCAAAAAAAAAAAAAAAAGAAGAAGAAGAAGAAGAAGAAAAGAAAAGAAAAAACAAAAAAAAATAGGGAAAGAAGACTGGTGAACTTTGCTACCTAAAACAAATAAAATCCCAGAAGCAAGGTCAAAAAACAAATGACACACTAGGAGAGACCAATTGCAAGTTATATCAGCAGTGGCTCACACCTGTAATCCCAGCACTTTTGGAGGCCAAGGTGGGCAGATCACCTGAGGTCGGGAGTTTGAGACCAGCCTGACCAACATGGAGATACCCACCGTCTCTACTAAAAATAAAAAATTAGCCGGCCATGGTAGTGCATGCCTGTAATCCCAGCTACTCAGGAGGCTGAGGCAGGAGAATCCCTTGAACTCGGGAGGTGGAGGTTGCAGTGGGCCAAGATCGAGCCATTGCACTCCAGCCTGGATAAGAGCGAAACTCCGTCTCAAAAAAATAAATAAATAAAAGGATGGGGACAAGTGCATGAAAAGCTTTTAACAATGGAGAAGCTCCAAAATTGCATAGAAATATGGGCAAAAGTCACGAAAAGAGAGAAATGTGAGAACAGAGCGAAAAAGAAATGCAAGTCACTCTCTACACATATGAAATGATGCCCAATTTCCCTTACAATAAGAGGAATGCAAGCTAGAATTCTTCTGGATCCAAACATTTTACAACATACTCTACTGAGAGTAGAAATGCAAAATGGAACAAACCCTATGGATGGGGATTTGGCAAAATTGAACAAAATTACATATGTTCTAACCTTTCATGCAGCAATCTCATTTCTAGGAAGCTACCCTGAAAATACATCTCTACAAATAATCAATAACATTTGCACAAGGTTATGCAACACAACATTGTTTGCAGTAGCAAAAGATTAGACATAATCTAAACATCCACCAATGAGAGAGGCAGTAAATAAACTGCAGTACATACATGAATTGGCAACCAGGTGTCACGTCATAAAACACAGAAAAAAATGTCTGTGAATTGAAATAATCTCCAGAATATATTTTTAGATTTAAAAAGTTAGTACACAGCAGTACATAGAGTGCGGTATATTTTGTGTATAAGGGGAAAAAAGGAGGAATAAGAATATATTTAGGTATTTGCCTATATTTGCAAAAAGAAGCAATAAAAATAATTATCTATAGAAGGTTGGGGGGAATGAAGTGAAGGGAGAGGGTTAGGAGTGAAACTTCTGTGGGTTTGGTTACCTTTTCGTATATTTTTAAACTTTGGGACCACATAAATGTTTTATATATTTAAAAAATTCAAATAAAAAAGACAAAAGTAAAATCTTAAAATGGAAAACAATTGAGACCAATGAGCCTAACTTTATTTCAAATGTGGTAACAACAGCTATACAAAGAACAGAATTATTTCAGTACTTTAACTATACACTCATAATGGCATATGATCTAAGGACAAATGAATAGAAGGAAATCTTAAATTTCACTCAGTAATGTATCATTAATATAGTATTATAATTCTGACCTAGGAGAAAACAAGTGTACAATTATGAATTAGGAGGAAAGAAGCACTATATTATTACAAACCAAAACTTTCAGTTTAACAGAAAAGAGAGGCAAAAACAACTATTAAGTCAAAGAACTTAAAGTAAAACACTGTAAGGTTAAATTTGAATTGAGAAATTCACATGCAATAACCTTTTAAAAGTGTATTTGTCTTTCCTGGATCTGTTCACTGAAAGGGCTTTGAAGCAATGATACCCTTGTGTCAATGAACATACCTTGCCCCTTTATCTTGGCATTGAAATATCATTTCTCACCAATAAGGAGAATGTCCTTATTAGGAAATGCGTGTTGAAATATTTAGGAATGAAATGGCATGAGTCTATAGTTTATTTTCAAATGGCTTAGCTGTGTGTGTGTATCTGTGTATGTGTGTATGTGGCTGGGTGGGTAGGTGGTAAGGATCTAATTATTACACCAAGAAATCCCTTTTCCTGCACCTGGCATAACCTCCTGTAGAATGAGCTCGAGCTGCCCACACTCTCTTGATGACATAGCCTCCATTCTGAAGATGAAACAAAACTTGGAGGAACACTCATGGAAAGATCTAAATTACTAAAATGCCTGTCCCTGAGACTCAGAGATCCTAAAAATAGACAGTGCCATGTGTGCTTTAATTTTCTGCTTAAAGTGACTTAAATTATTTCAATTCAGACATTTTCAATAGAATATATGGTACTTCAACCTTATAAGTCAAATGCATTTACTGAAATACCATTTCCCAGTAGTTTTTTCAGTTTCCCTGGCTGCAATGGGTGGAGAACTTTCATTAGCAGTATTGGCTTTGGTGTGGCCATGGATGTTGCACAAAGGCCTTTGCTTAGGAATTGGGAAACACAGGTTCTCACTGGGCTCTGTAACTAACTTGCTATGTAGCTTTGTGTAAGTCATATCACCTTTTGGGATCTTGGTCTTTCAACTGCCAAATATAGATATTGGATTTTTCTTCTACTATAAACAGTGATTTGGAATTTTCTCCAAGTAGAGTGATACATCTACCATAACAGGGGTAGCAAGAAAGAGACAAGAGTGAGGGTTTATTACAGCATGAGGTGGCACCAGGAATAGGAAAGGAACCCCTAATCCAGATAATTTTTTGGTATCAATCTTGTGTCAAATTCTTTAAACATATGACAATGAATAAGAGCAACAAATGCATCCTCAATTTTAAGATCAATATTTTGGTATATAATTTTATGTATAATTATCCTTAGTTCCAATAATTATTTTCTTTTTCTATCTAGAAGGAAAAGGATGGGTTCTGAGTAGTTCCAGCTATCCATATCTCCCTATAGCTACAATTCGTGTGGCAGCCTGCATCTGTGCTAGCGTTGGCTGAGGATTTGTAATGCACTTCAGATTTTGGTTTAATATGCTCGCAAATAACTTACCGTGGAAGTCCCCTTGAAACACATTAAATCCTCTGTTTACTCGCATGACTGGGGAATTAGACAATCAACCGTGACAATCTATCAAAAGTATTAGAATACAAAAAGCACTAAGCATGAAATCCTATTGAAAACCATTTCATTCTCTTAATTATTCATTAGGCTTCTCAGACTCTGAGCGACCTTCAAGGTCATTATTATGAATATTAATTATCACTGTAATATGGCAATGGAAAACGTATTTTAAAAGAGTTCTGTTCAGTAGAATACTGCTATTAAAAGAATTCACCATTTTATTTTGGAGTGCGTGCTCTTCTGCTCTTTTGCTACATGATGAGAAAATGGGAACATTAGAAGTGAACCTTCCAGAATCTTTTTAGTGCATGGGATGGGTTCCAGTTTGCATGATTCCTGTGCAAAGGCCTGGAAGGAAGGAGTACCTGCTGAATGGGGTCGGGGAGGAGGTGGAATGAAATAGTGCCAGGCAAAGATGGCAAGTTCTCCACTGGCCAGGGCTTATGCTTTGCCCCACTAGCCAGTTGTTTTTTAAAAAAATTCAGCCAACATCCATCAGATGCCTTCTCTTCAACATGCTTTTTGTTGGTTTAGAAACAACAGAATGAAGTTGGTTGAGTGGTGCAGCTTCAAGTAAACTCTTTCCACATTATAAGCTGGGGGTATACTTTTTAACCATTTCTTCCCTGTCCCCTCAAGGCACACAACCAGCAGTGAGAGGTCCTGTGAAATTGAAACCTGTTAAATATAAAGACATCTAATGACTGGTGTGTTTAAATATCAATCCTTCAAGTAGAGCTTTGTAGAGTGGTTCATTTTGGAATGATTGTCCAGAACACTGTTTTCAGACCTACTCTGTGTCCTCTTCCTTTACCAGCCCACTTTCACCCTGACATACACCTTCTCCAACCCCACCTTTCAGGACTAAGCTTGCTTAGGCTAGTGACACTCCAATGAGTTCAGCTGGTTGTGCTGATAAGACAAAATAATGCTGGAGACATTCTCCGAATGAACTGGGGTGCCATCCAAATGGGCTCATATCTGAAAGTATACTAATGTGCCAGATCCTACTTTCTAAAAAGGCAGAATTGTCTGTATTTTCTTTTTTTTTTTTTTTTTTTTTTTTTGAGATGGAGTCTTACTCTGTCGCCAGGCTGGAGTGCTGTGATATGATCTCAGCTCACTGCAACCTCCGACTCCCTGGTTCAAGGGATTCTCCTACCTCAGCCTCCTGAGTAGCTGGGATTACAGGCATGCACCACCACCCCCGGCTAATTTTTGTATTTTAGTAAAGATGGAGTTTCACTATGTTGGCCAGGATGGTCTTGATCTCCTGACCTCGTGATCTGCCCGACTCGGCCTCCCAAAGTGCTGGGATTACAGGTGAGAGCCACTGCTCCCAGCCAGAATTGTCTGTATTTTCATCACAAATTGATTCTTCAACTTATTTTAGTTGTGTGGCATTCAGATCTATGTCTTAAACATTAGCGCTAGGAATGCACTGTAAACACCTAGCAAGGGTATAGATGGGAACCCTCTAGATCTAGTGAGGGCAAACTCTCTGAGTCATCTGATCTCTGGGCTGGCTGCACTGTGGTGATTTAAAATGTGAAATTTTTTGACACTCCTTTCAAAAGATGAAGCCTAATTCCTCTCCCCTGGAATGTGGGCTGGACCTAGTGACATGTTTCTAACAGCTAGAACAACACAGAAATGATGGTGTGTGACACTGGAGAGTAGGTGATTCATGGGTATTACAGCTTCCTGCTTGCCCTCTCTGTCTCTGAGCCCTCCCTCTGCAGGAAGCCCATGCCGTGTCCTGAGGACGAGCGAGCAGCCCAGTGGAGAGATCTACCCGGTGAGGAACTGAAACTGCCTGCAGTCGTGTGAGGGAGCCACCATAGAGGCAGACCCTCCAGCCTGAGTCAAGCCTTCAGATGACTGCAGATGACATCTTGACCACACCTCAGGATCGATTCTGAGCCAGAATCACTCAGCTAAGCCACTCTCACATTCCTGACTGTCAGAAACTGAGTGACATAATGACTCTGTGGTTTTAGGCTGCAATATCTGGGAGCAATTTGTTCAACAGGAGTGGCACCTACCTGAAGTATTAATAGTTGTTGAGAGTCACCTTTCTCACCCCTTCATTTGATGCCGCTGTTGTGCAACTGCAAACTCCTGTGGAGACGACTTGTCCCATTGTACACCAGGTATGTAACTTCCTGCCCAGTGAGTGCTGGGAATCAGGCCCTTGACCACGGTGTTTCACAAACCTCTAGCTGCTCTCTGGCTACTTGTGAGTTAAAGTATTTTTACCTTTAAAAAATACTTACTAAACATTTCATTTTTCACAAATAGGTAGAAAAAAGATTTGTCACAATATCCCATCTATATCCCATTGAGCAGACTGAATAGCCAACATTACATGCATTTATTGCTTGATTCTGAAGACTAAAAATCGCAGTAAAATGACACATGCTTTAATAAGGGTAATTATAATCAAAATTTTCCAATTTGTATTATTTTTATTAACACCATAAAAACATCTCAAAAAAGCTTCTCTTCTTAACTCTTTGTAAATTGTGATCAACAGGATTAATATAAATTGCATAATTTCAACAAAAATATCTATTTCTTACTTGTGAAAATTATTCATCTCTTCAATTGTAATGCAGGTTCGAAGGTTATCCTTATAAATGAGTAGTTTATAGCCTGGTTAGTCAATGACCATTTATACATTTCAGTCTGGAGAAGGCAGATTTTTCAGGAGGAATAATGTAGAGTTTGGGTTTTTACAAGATGATCTCATTAAGAATTTTAAACTTACAGTTCAATTAAACAATGTATCTCAATCTGCTTGTATTTGAAGATAAATAGGCACATTTTCTTTATGCTTTATGAAGGAAACAATTTTTAAAACTTGATGGAATTCTACTTTGGATATTTTTATGATTACTCATTCATTGCTGCCCATTATATTCTTATACTGTATTCAGAACAGCTAGTAAATCCCACTAGTTCTAAAAGGGAGAATGACCACTTTCTGATTTATCCTCCAACAATGGTTACTTTTTGCCTCATAAATTGTTTTCTTTAACACAAGAGATAAAAAGCAAGATTTGAGAGAGGTTCATGGATCAACTGGCACAATCTGCTTAGTTCTACAAAGTGGAGTTTCTGGGTATCATTCTCCATTTCTGTACACAAAGTGCTGTGAACCTCAAGAAGAAACAGCTCTGCGCAGGTACGATGTGCACCGCCCTACTGCTTCTTTATCTAGTAGGTGAAAACAAAATGCCCTGACACCATCTCTTGGGCTCTTTTATTTTTCTTCTAAATTTTGTCCCTAATTCTCCATGATCCTGTTGTTTTTAATTAGGGCGTTTGTTTGCTTGCTTGTTTGTTTGTTTTGAGACGGTGTCTTGCTCTGTCGCCTAGGCTGGAGTGCAGGGGCGCTATCTCAGCTTGTTGCAGCCTCTGCTTCCCAGGTTCAAGTGATTCTCTTGCCTCAGCCTCCTGAGTAGCTGGGATTACAGGCAAGTGCCCCCACGCCCGGCTAATTTTTGTACTTTTAGTGGAGACGGGGTTTCACCATGTTGGCCGGGCTGGTCTTGAACTCCTGACCTCAGGTGATCTACCCACCTTGGCCTCCCATAATGCTGGAATTACAAGTGTGAGCCACCGGACCCGGCCTTTTGTTTTTTTGAGGCAGGGTCTCACTGTGTCACCCAGGCTGGAGTGCAGTGGTGGGAACACAGCTCGCTTCAGCCTCCACCTCCCAGGTTCAATTGATCCTCCCACCACAGCCTTCCTGCTAGCTGGGACTGCAGGCATGCGCCACCACGCCTGCCTGGCTAACTTTTATTTATTTATTTATAGAGACAGATTCTCACCATTTTGCCCAGGCTGTTTTCAAATTCCTGGACTCAAGGATTCACCTGCCTTGGCCTCCCAAAGTGCTGGGAATATAGGCCTGAGCCACTGCACCAAGCTAAATGGGACCTTTTTAGTGGTGAGAGAGACCAGGTGTTTTCAGTTTTTGAGACTCCCAATATATTTAAAAAATAAAGAAATGTCAATTCAGGGTTATAAAAAATTTAAGCGCTAAATACTTTCAACATCCACATTTAACAAAGTATGCCTATTAAACACAAAAATATAAGACAATATATTATATGAATTACAAGATAAAGAAAGGATTTGTGAGAAATATTAAATTCATTGTGTATAATTATTACTACTGTGGTCTGTTAATGAGACACAAGTTTAAAGTTACTTTGAAGGATGTCTTCTTTCAATCCTCTCTGTATATCTCTGTAACTACTTCTGTACCCTCAGAGATGGTGTTTCAACTTAAACTTGTGAATGTGAAATATGAGTCGAAAGACTCTCTTGGCCCTGAAATGATCTTTGTGGCAGATGCTGCCAGAAGCCCCTCTTACCCTCCCTGGACTCTCCACCTAACCTGATGTCAACTGCCAGTATGTGCATCTCCTTGCCTGAGGGCTCTTCTGGTGGCAGGAGTCCTTGCTACTCACAGAAATGGCCACCAGAAGTGCCAGAAAATTAACCTCCCTTGGCCAGCGGTCCTCAACCAGCTCCCTCACTGACACTGATGTGCAGGTATCTCCTATGCTGGTTGCTGGAGTCAACCACAGTAGCAGCCTTCTTGACAACATACCCTTCACTGGCTGCCTTCCTTTCTATCTCCCTTCTTCACTCCCTTACCTATGTCTCCTGGGCTTTCCCTTCAGATAAACAGCTTGCACGCGAATCTTTGTCTCAGGGTCTGCTTCTCGGGAAATCCACACTAGGACAACTCTGTTTTTTGTTTCTGTTTTTTGTTTATTTTTGTTTGTTTACTTGTTCGTTAAGGATTCACCATATAAAAATGCTAACGTCTGACACACTGGACCACTCAAAGAGAAGACACCAGAGCTGGGGCAGGCGCGGTGGCTGACGGCTGTAATCCCAGCACTTTGGGAGGCCGAGGCGGGCAGATGATGAGGTCAGGAGATCGAGACCATCCTGGCCAACATGGTAAAACCCCGTCTTTGTTAAAATACAAAAAATTAGCTGGGTGAGGTGGGTGCGCATCTGTAGTCCCAGCTACTCAGGAGGCTGAGGCAGGATAATTGCTGGAACCCAGGAGGCGGAGGTTGCAGTGAGCCAAGAGCGCGCCACCGCACTCCAGTCTGATAAAAGAGCGAGACTCCGTCTCAAAAAAAAAAAAAAAAAGATACCAGAGCTTACTAAATTATACGAACTAAAGAAACCAAAACTATAATGACAGATTAAGTCAAAGACCTTTAAAACGTTACCATTGTCTATTTCATCACATAGATAAAGGACTATATTTACTTTATAAAAATCACAATTCATCTTCAGCTATGAACTTGTGTTTACTAGAGAATACTTAAATAGCAGTCAGTGTAACATCTATAGGTTATATGGCCAGATGGAGGGATTTTTATTTAAGTCTAGGATATGTAAATGAGGACTTGAAGTGTTGTTCAGGGTGATTAGAGTTCAGACGACTAGCATTTGACATCACAGAGGGTTCTGATACTCAAATTTAGCTCCGAATGTTTTGCAATCTGTGCTTGAGGATATGGATTCCAGCAATGAGTGTCCTAAATGATGTTTAGGCTGTTACATGTGGGCTCAGTATCCTTGTTATTTTGCATTAGGACCAAAGAAGATCATGTTGCTACACATATTCCCAAGAAAAACATAACTGGCAGTAACATTGCATTTGAGGCCCTTTTGCATCAATGACCCCTCCCTCCCTCCTTTCCTCATCATCCTTCTGCCCCAGCTCCATGGACTGTTCCTTGTGTCCTTAGTCCACACCATGCTTTCCTGCCTCTATACATCTGCTCATGTCTTCTTCCTTCCTGGAATGCCTGTCTATTCCATTTTCCACCTGCTGCCTAACTCACACATGCCACAGGGCCACATCTTCTTTCATCAGACCAGCTCACATACCACATCTGCCATCAATCCTCTCACAAGACCCTCTAGTTTCAAGTAGTTTATCCCTTCTCTGATTACCTGTGCTAATCATTCTTTATCCTGTGTTTATGTGTGTAGATGCCTTACTCCCCAACACAGGTGTGCGCTCAGTGAGGGCAAGAATTATGATATAACTATCCTTAAGTCTCCCAGGATGGTCACCAGATGGGAATAAATGAAGAAATGCAAGAATTTCAAGAGCTACTGGATGAAATTGAAGTGCTTCTTGTTTTAGATTTTTCACCTGCCTTAATATTAATTGCTTCTGGAGGGTGGAGATGTGTGTAGGACAAGAATTTCAGGTAGGGGGAAGACATGAGTATACATACACATACCGCGGCCCCAACATGTATGAAATCTATATCATATGCAACATTTACGTATAAGTAGTATGTATATCCAGGACATTCAGAATAAGCTTGTTTACTCTGGGGAGAAAGACTGTGGGGTTGGGAGACAGGGAAAGCCACCTACTTTTCACTGCCTACACTCTTAATAGTTTTTTTTATTTTTATATTAAGTGCTTGTATTATACCTATCTTAATTTTTTTAATTATTAAAAGACATATAAAAAGGAAATCTAGCAATTGTTCTCTTACTAAGTTATGTAACTCCGAAGGTCAGCTACCTGTGAAGGCTGTAGAATATATTTCTGCTGAGAAAACTCATGAATTGTGCTGATGGCAAGGCTACTCCTAATTGTTGGGAGATAATTCTACATGAGTCTGTTGTGTGTCTGCCCATCTTCTGAGTAAAGGCACTGACACCCTTTGTTTCAAATTATTAAATATCTTTTGGAAGATGTTTGTATAGCCAACAGCCTTGAAGATAGTGGCAGAATTTTTTTTTTTTTTTTGCTGTCCAGGACAAGAAAAATAATGTTTCCCTCAGGTTGAGCACATTTGCTAACAGTCCCTTGAAAAGACCAGGGTTAAAAGTCTGAGATTTTTTTAGCTATGATGCAAATTTATTGATTGTGTAGAATCTACCTGAGCTGTTCCACATTGTTCCCATGGGACTTGGGGAGTAAGGAGAACTGACACAAATATGAAGCCCATGCTGACTGCTACACAACAAGCGATAATGTCTTTTGTCTCTGACCCAGGAGTCTTGTGTCTTCTGTCAACAACTGTGAAACTGTGACAGACTAACTTCTTATTAGCTCATACATGTGGTAAAATTTCAACCCCTTTGTAGTTCTTGACATGATGCATATTCTGATAGTTAAAATATCTATATTCATCAAAATCTAAATTTAGAATGAGCAGTTCTCAGGTGAGTAATTTCGTAAAGGAATTCTATTACTTCAGTGGCTTTATTCTAGGAATGTATTACATACACAGAAGACACAGAAAAGACCCATTAGCCATTTAGCCTCTTCCCTGCTAAGACAAGAAACTGAAATGGCACTGTGAGCCAAATTGTGTCTTTGGTTATTTGGCAGATGTCAAATGGTCATTATGTTGTAGGTTTCCAGCAAAAACACAGTGGAAATAAAACCACATTTTCCCCAAGATAGTCAAAATATCTATATGGTATTTCATCTACTCTAACTTGTATTCAACACTATAGGGAGGATGGAAACAGTTTACATATTATGTTGGTGCAAAAGTTATTGCGGTTTTTGCCATTGAGAGTAATGGCAAAAACCGCAATAACTTTTGCACCAACCTAGTATTTCTTTCCAGGAGGATGAGATAGGTCTTTTAATACATGAAAATAAACTTATGTTTTCTATTTCAAAATATAAAACGTAAAAAATGTCTTCAGCAAAAATGTAAAGTTCTTTTTCTCTTCATTTTATTTCTACTTGATATGCTGAGACATTTTAAACGTGATGCGAAATACTTGACTATAATTGATTTGATCTAAAGAAAGATTGCTGTTATATTTAAATAGAAATTTTTATAATCAGAATATTAATTCTCTTTACCACCACTGCTCTTTATATAGACTTTTTATTCATTGCCTACTAGAAGCTAAATTTTTACATCTAAAACTATTTTCATTATGTCATAGTTGCCTTATGAAGGCTGTCCAAACATGAAAAATCAAATAGTGAATTACCTCCATTAAAATCTGAGTCATGTTGGGAAGAGTTTAGGATGGCAGTCAAGTCTATTATAGAAACTGTGTAGTGCTGCATGGAGATGCTGGAATATATTTAGGGCAGCAAAACATGTCCAATGCATCAGTCACAGTCCTGGCAGGAAACAGATGGCATACTCCAATTTGGTAATTTGAGTGGAGTTTTAAAAAGAGACTATTCACAAATGTGTGAGCAAAGTTTAGGGAAACCATGAGGGATGGTGGTGCATCCTGAAGCTAGTAATAATTGAGTCATTACCATTCTAGGCCTGAAGGGCAAGGAGCGGGAGCAGTTACTCCACTATATGGAAAAGGCTGCCTGACTGGAGCTGTGGCCTTCCACTGAGGGACATGGCCAACTCGCTATAACTCAGCACAGAGACAGCCAAGGAACAAATACTCTGACCTCACTCTCTTACCTCTCTCTAGTCTCCTGCCAGTGCTCCCATTAACTGAACCCAATCAGGAACCAGAGGACAAGGAAGCCTATTGACGCATCCATAGAGGCCAGTGCCTCCTAGGGCACAGAGGAGGATGGAGAAGGGTAGAGGGTAGATGTGGACAAACAGAAAATAACCAGCACTGTCAATTTTATTCAAAACGAGTTTCTTAGCACTGAACTCCGTATCATATTCTGAAGGAGAAAATTACGATTTTGTAACTTTCTTTTTTTTTTTTTTTGAGACAGAGTCTCACTGTGTCGCTGAGGTTGAAATGCAGTGGCATCGTGTTGGCTAACTGCAACCTGTCTCCTGGGTTCAAGCAATTCTCCTGCCTCAGCCTCCCGAGTAGCTGGGATTACAGGTGCCCACCACCACGCCCGGTTAGTTTTTATATTTTTAGTAGAGACGGGGTTTCACCATGTTGGCCAGTCTGGTCTTGAACTCCTGACCACAGGTGATCCACCCGCCTTGGCCTCCCACAGTGCTGGGATTACAGGCGTGATCCACTGTGCCCGGCCTGTAACTTCCTTGTTTTTTTTTTTTTGTTGTTGTTTTTTTGTTTTTTTTTTTTACTGTATAAGCACTTTCTTTTGCCTTAGAAAATAATGGGTTCTCTGCATTCATTGAGGTAAGTTGGGTGTGTTATGTAGAATCATGGAATTTCCAAGCTGAAGGGGACCTAGAGGTTATCTAGTGGGTCCCTCTCATACAACGAGAATATTTTTAAACAAGCCTTAGAAAGAAAAAAAAATCACTATATTTATGCCAAGTCTGAAAACCTTTTAATAGCTGAAATTCCTAACTTGGCTTTTGCTAATAGTAAAACCCTAATTTATAGAAAATCAGTTGGCAACTCTGGTTTGAGAAGGGTGGATACTATAAGCATTCCTCCTTTCTCTTAGAAATCACTCAGCAGTAATGAGGCCACTGAGGAACAGAAATGAAAACCCCACTTTTGCAAAACAAGGAGACATCTCAAACTCGAAACACACAAAACATGTGGGAGTGGTATCAAGGCAGTGAGGGTTAGTAGGAAAGCTGGCAGAAGGGGTTGCAGATCTCAGATGAGGCTAGTGCACACTCCAAGTTAAAGGGCTTGTGGGAGGAGGTCACAAAGCCAGATCCTAACCAGAGGAGCAGCATGCGGAGAACAGAGCTGAATGAAGATGCGGACAATTCATGTATTTGCAGGAAGCAGTCAGCCAGTGCACATGAAGAAAAGACCGCACTGACAGCAGCCTTCCAGCTGCCTAGTTTTTGGCTTGGGAGAAGTAAAGGCTAAAACAATTCACTCACTCAATCCTGAACCATAAGTCAAATTCCTTCCAGCCAGGAAACTGGATTCTACTAACATATACTTCTTGCAGGTAACTCATGTGAGAGAAAGTGAGACAACCGATCAAACATGAGCTGGTAGCACTTCAAAAAGAAGTGAAAGGGGAAAAAAAACGCATCAGAGAAAAATAGGAAAAACTGAAAGCAGTCCATGAAAGAACAGGCACTAAAGAACACTCAGCAAGGGCCATGAAAAGCAGGAACAAAATGTGCAAAATAGAGTTTCAAAGAATTAGACAGAATAGGTTACGATTTTAAATATGGAAGTCACAGTAGGATTCATTGAGAAAATAAGGTTTTAAGCAAAGTCTCAGGGAAATGAAGGAGTTACTTGTGCTCTGGGGGACAGTGTTCCAGGCAGAGGTAACAACCACTGCCAAGGCTCCAAAGCAGGGGCACCTGGGTGCATTTGAGGGGTAGCAATGTTACTTAGGGCATATATACTCATAGGAGGTTATGTCATTGTGAAGTCTGCACCTTAACATTCTAAACTCCCCTTCTTTGTTTTGTTTAATAGGTTTCTTTTCTCTGAATTTAACTTTTGTCATAATCTTGGCTTTACTGGTGTTTATATTTGCCTGGTGTGTTTTTGCCCATCTTTTATTTTAAAACTTTATGAATCAATTTGTTTTGGGTGTGTCTCTTATATAGCGTACAGAGCTGAGTTTTAATTCATCTAATTTCAGTATCTTTGTTTATTCACAAATGATTTTAGTATTTAGATTTCTGTTTTAGTATTTAGATTTAGTATTTAGATTTTAGATTTATAATAATTGATAGGACAAATATGTTCATCCTAGTGCTGTCACTTTATTTTTTCAGTTCATATCTTACTTGACCTAGCATCAACATATGGCACAATTTTTTTTTTTTTTTTTTTTTTTTTTGAGACGGAGTCTCGCTCTGTCGCCCAGGCTGGAGTGCAGTGGCCGGATCTCAGCTCACTGCAAGCTCCGCCTCCCGGGTTTATGCCATTCTCCTGCCTCAGCCTCCCGAGTAGCTGGGACTACAGGCGCCTGCCACCTCGCCTGGCTAATTTTTTGTATTTTTTAGTAGAGACGGGGTTTCACCGTGTCAGCCAGGATGGTCTCGATCTCCTGACCTCGTGATCCGCCCGTCTCGGCCTCCCAAAGTGCTGGGATTACAGGCTTGAGCCACCGCGCCCGGCCGGCACAACTCTTAAATTCAGATTCTTCGTTTGCTTCTGAGACACTGCCCTTCCCCATTCTCTGGGTTTACCTCACATCTCATTGACCAGTCTTTCCCAAGTTCCTTTGCTATTTTCTCTTCTCTCAACTTCTTACTATTGGAGTTAACGATTGAGGCTCAGTCCATGGTCCTCTTCCCTTCTGTAACTGCACTCACAACTCTGGTGAGCTCGTCCAATCTCATAGCATCAAATATCATTTTGTGTTGATAACTTGCAAATTCTTATCTGTAGCTTTGGCCTCTCTCCTGAATGCCAGAGGCCTATTTACTGACTCAGATTTCCAAAAGGCATCTCAAACCCAAGAGTATCCATCACAGGGCTCCTGAATTTCTCCCAAATCTGCTTTTCCTATAGTTTTCCCTACCTCAGTTATCAGTTGACTCCTCTTTCTCTCATACTTTACATCTAATATGTCATCAATTCCTAAAAATTCTACCTTCAAAATATTTCTA